AACTTGCAAACCAGCAGGTTGTAAATGTTTTAAATACCCGCCAGAGAAAACAATAGAGGCAATATTTTACTAGATTTAAACAAACTCAATAAAAGAAACTATCTGCAATATATTGATGATGGTTTTTTTGGTAGCCCAAGTTTTAAGCAGGCCGCGTCATATCTTGGCGAGACAATAGGAATCTGACAAAAGGGCTCTGATGCCGGTTGATGGACACTATACACGTACACATACTGTTTATGTTTGCTAAGCTGGAGATATGATTCATTCAGCGGGTTTTTACTCATGAAAACTCCTCTGATCATCACAGATGTGTTGCTAGTCAGATATGCTCATCCAGGGATGTGTTGATAATCAACTTCTTATATATTTTTATGCATGAAATTGACAGTAGGCTGTTCCTACGCTTCAAACTTGTGAATCTTATATAAACTGAAAATCCATCTTGACGGTTTGTTTTATTCTCAATGTAGATTTCGCCACAAAGCAGCTTCATTTAGAAAGATCATTGGAAACCAGGGGGGGGGGACTAGACGGCTGTCTCGTCCTAGTTTGGCACTCTTCAGCAGTAGTGTACGCCGAGGAACCCGCAAGGGATTGAACCAGGGACTTCAGGTTACGAGACCAAGACGGGTGATCATTCGCCCACTTAGGTGGGAATTCATTTACCAGTAAATTTTAAATTTATCGAGTGTTGGCTTGCAGGGATTTGATTGGTTACAGGTTAAATATCGAGTTGATATCATTTAGTGATCCATTCAAAAACCTGGGAATAGTGGACAGACGTTTCGTGAGTACGTACTGATGAAAATTCCCAAACTACGGTGAAAAAGATATTAAGTACTCTCAATTTTTCATTGGTTCTCTAACTGATGTTAACTCGTCGTCAAACATGCAGCTATTCAAATCCTTGCGAACCAACATTTTCTGATTAATGCGATACTCACTAGTGAATGGTCCTATACAGAAAGTTCCCAGGAGTTCTAGTGAGAAGTCATAACTAGCGGAGTTCACCCAGTCAGGTAAAAGATCACTTACTGGCCTATGACACTGGCTGGTGGTTGGGGACAGCGGGCAGCCTTGTCTTACTCCCGTCTTCACTTCGAAGGATTCCGTGAGTTTCCCGTTGTGGATTACCTGGCACGCAGCATTGTCGTACAAATGTTGGATGAGATGTATAATTGTTGGTGGCACCCCGTAGTAGCGAAGTAGTTGTCAAAATTACCTCTTGATCGACGCTGTCGAGGGATTGATATCAATTAGGGAACCATTGAAAACCAGATGGCAGTACTGGTTGGGAGATCTAAAGAGAGCCCTCCGGTTACAAGGCAAGATCGCATACCACTCAGCCACTGGGGTCCGAATCGATGTCTCATCGATTTTTAACTTCTACACTGATTGGTGGTCGTGCTAAAAATCACCAATTTGGAGAAGTTAAAATTCATGGGTTGGCCATTAATATATATATATATATGTAGCTAATTGGTAGAAGTTGGAATTCACGAGCTGGCTATTGGATCAGGTTCCAGTGGCTGAATGGTCAATGAACTCACTTTGCAACGGGAAGGTACAGGGTTCGAACCTCAATGGGTAGGTATTGATGAACAGTCTCAAACTATAACGAAAGTCTAACTCTGTCAATTGATGGTATAGCGCTATCCTGAAAAAAATGCCTTCGACTTTTACCTGGTCGACTGCACAGGTAACGAGCTTTCTCAGTACAGCTTCAAGACATCTATCTAGTAGGCGTCAATAACCTGGAAATTGATATTTATATTATGGTTTCTTGTATGAATTTGGATTTATTTCAATATAGTTTATACTTTATTTAATTGCTAATTGAATACTATTTTGAAGAGCTGATTTGTGAGCAATAGGTTTGTTTTTCGAGTTTGACCGCGGATTGATATCAGTTAGAGAACCACTGGAAACAGTTGTTTTATACTTTCTTGGTTGGGAATCATCGGCAATACGCACCCACTGCCAGGGTTCGAACCCAGGACCTTCCGGTTAAAAGGCAAGCTCGTATACCATTCAGCCACCACTAGGACCCAACTATTCAATGGCCAGCCCATGAATTCTAACTTCTACCAATTCGTGATTTAGCACGACCTCAAGGTTACCCCATACGACCAATAGTAGATTTCAGAAATACCCCTACTTATTAATTATCAAAACACTTAGCCCTAATATTATGCCCCATAAGAAATCGTTCAATGTCTAGACTAACTAATTCATATGAGATGAAAAATAAATTAAATGACATTCAACTAGAGAATGATGAAACAATGGTTAGTTTTGATATAACTGGTCTTTATACCAATATACCAATCAATATGGCCTTGGAAGCAGTTAAAAAAAACTAACTGCAGATATTGAACTCACTCATAGGACGAAGCTGTCCATTGAGAAAATTATTTTAGGAATTCAGTTATGCCTCACATCTACTATCTTTAAATCCCAAGCCAAAATATATAGACAAACAGAATGCGTAGCAATGGGATCCCCAATATCCCCGATCGTAGCAGACATATTTATGGACACATTGGGAAAATATTGCTCTAAATACATTTAGTCCTACTCCAAAAATATGGTGGAGATATGTGGATGACACTTTCACAGTGTTAAAAACAGAACATATCTCTAGCTTCCTGACGTATATTAACTCATTAGTAAATGGAATAAAATTCACATTTGAATCGGAAAATGTACAAGGAGAATTAGCTATGGTGTTAGATTGTAAAATAAAACGAAGGGAAGAAGGTAAACTACACACTAGCGATTATAAAAAACCAACGCATTCTAATAGATATTTAAACTTTAATTCATCTCATCCGTTAACTGTAAAGGCAGGCTTAGTTAAGTGTTTAACAAACCGAGCCATAGCACTAAGTAGCACAAGAAAAGACCTAAATGATGAAATAAAACAGATAGAAACAGCGTTGGTGTTAAATAACTATCCTATAAAATTCATTAGGAAGATCAGAAAAGGTCAAAAGCAAAATAAAAATAATTGTGAAACTAGTAATGATAACATAAATAAGAGAGAATACAAGTCATCTACAGTTATACCATATAAAGAGGGGACATTTGAGACCCCACGTAGGATTCTTAGCAAAGCAGGAATTAGAGTGGCATTCAAACCTACAAACTGACTCAGAGACAGGCTCTGTAGGCTAAAAGCCCCGGTGGACCCAATTAAACAAAATAATATAATTTACAAAATACCCTGCAATGACTGTGAGGTCAACTATATAGGTCAAACTAGTAGATCGGGGTAATCAGATTGTCGGAACATAAGAATTTAGCCAAGGTAAGAATGGTTGACTCCGAGAAGATAAGTAATTTAGAAAAAAGCTCATCAATTGCAATGCATGCATTAGCACACAACCACACAATAGGGTGGGAGAGGGTTAAGATTCTAAGAAGTAATCTATGTAGGTGGAGAGAGAGATTGATTACTGAATCCTGGTTCATTGAATCTACACCCAGCACATGCAACAGAAATGACTCAATGCAAATATCAGAAATATGGAAGATATTATTATCACCAGTCAGTAAAATCAAAAGAGGATAATAAATAATCTAAAAATTCTATTTCAATTAAGTACTCGCAACATCCTAACAATTTACTTATTATGACTATAAAAACACTCGTCTTATTTCCCATCTAATCGTATTTGATCAATAACACCCATATTGATTTTTATTCAAATATCTAGTCAATTCCATACATATATATAAATGAAGGAAAAAGTTGTGTGAGTAACTTGATATGATTATGAGCAATAATTTGTGCTCGAAATGTCATCAGGTAATATTATTGTGTAACACTGTGTGATTTATGAAAATAAAATCTTATCCATAATTGGCAGAAGAAGCATCAAAGATAGGACTTCAGGTGAACATAGAAAAGACAGGAGTGATGAAGATTCCTGGCCAACAGCAACAGTAACAACAACAACAACAGACAACAATCAGCATAAGTGGCAAGATTCTGAAAGAAGCAACCTCCTTTACCTACAGACCTGGGTAGCATCGTTTCAGCTACAGGCGGACGGAACTGATGGGGATGTCATCAAAGCGAGGATTGGGGAAAGCAAGGCAAGCTTTCATTACTTTCACCAAGTCTGTGTGGAGATCGACAGCACTCAGAATGATAAATAAGATCCGGATTTTCAACTCCAGTGTGAAGTCAGTTAGTGATGCTTTATGGATCAGAGATTTGGCGCGTCATGAAGAGCATCTCAAACAAAATACAGACCTTCATCAACACCTGTCTTCTATCAATACTCAAGATCAGATGGCCTCCCAGAAAAGATCAGCAACAGGGATCTCTAGCAATGAACGAACTAACTCAACAGGGACTTATTGTGCAACAAATATGCAGGGAGAAATGGAGGTGGACTGGCCATACTCTGAGGAAACAAACCATCAAGTGATTTACATCACACTCCAGGCCATTGCTCTAGTGGAACCCGAATGGGAAGCGGCGAGTTGGTCGTCAGTGCGAGGGTGGGGTGATATGGAGGAGGAGGTGATGTGAAGAGGAGATGAAAGCATATGGGCATATGTGTAGCCAAGTGAAAACGTTGATAGGAACCGAACACAATTGAGACGTGTGGCTGAAGCCCTATGTTCCTCTAGGAACTAAGGGAAGCAATAATAATAATAACTGATAATAATCCGTGGTCAAACTGGTAAAAATTGAATACCATATGAAATACAGTCTAAGGAATACTCTTTCCAGAGTGGCTATAATTCTTCAATAATCTCCACATACACGCACCATTATATATAAATTGTATAGCACTATATGAATATAAGTATCACTTTTATATTTTACGTAGGTTCAACATTATACTCAAATAACTGATATCATACGTGATTGGGTAATGATGTTGTTCTGTTATTATTTTCAATAAATTATATACACCCACGCATAATAATTCTAAAGGCATGTTGATATTTATAATAAAACTATAAGCTCTATCCACCAACAGGATTCGTGTTAGAGGTATATGTTCACTTTTAGCAAAACATGTTTGGATGTTCAACACTAAAACTACACACACGCACACACATACACACACATTCACATATGCACACTCAATTAAAAAATAAATAAGCTCTGATAATAGGAGAGAGACCATTTGCATCTCTGAGCTGATTTCATTCTCTTCGTATGGAATATGTTTTGTCATACTTGAAATTGAGTTCAATTCATCTCCAATAAGGGATTTAACGTACGGAATCCATAAAAAACATACAAAGTAGAAGAATAAAATCAGAGGATTAGTAATAAAATATCAACAAGATCTGAAGAGAAGTCAACGAAAAATCCACACAAAAATCCAAAAAATAATCACCACAACGAAACACTAGGTGGTGATGTACAAACTATCCACCACTGCTAAAGTCTACTTTCCAATACACTGTGCATGGGAGTATGGATAAAACTATATATGGAATCTTTTCGTGTGCATTACACTAACGATGTAATAATAATAACTAATAACTATATTTGAAAACTTTATTCTATTTCAGTGATTGTGTTATTCACAGTGAAAGAGTTTGAGAAAGTGACAGAGATTAAAACAAGGAGATCAGAAAGATACCAGGAGAAATATATATTTTAATCTTGTTCAATATTGAATACCTATTCAATTGTCAATACCTAATCCACTGATTAATAACTTATTATTATTACTAGTATTTTCAAACAAAACAAGTAAGATCTATTGATCTAATTCATGTTCAATTCCCAGTGGACGTTATCAGAAGTATCATTATTGGCAGTTGCAATAAATCCCTTACAACTGTTTTCACTATTATCAGCACTATTATTATCACTATTATTTCTATTAGTATTATCGTTATTAATTGTATTTCATTGCTTTAATCATTCGTATTATTACTATTATTATTATTATTATTATCATCTATATACACAGACATTTAGCCATTTTAGCTATCTACCGCAATCATTATCATTGTCATCATTAGCACTGTCATCCGCATGGATTTCTTCTTTGTCAATTCATCCTATATTCATCGTCTTTTGGAGATTAATAGTTCATGTTCACAGGGAATTAATTATTTGCATCGTCAACCTCCTACGAAGTACTTACCTTAAAGTCGCTGCTACAGTATTTAATGACGTCTACACCAATTCATATAATTTAGTTTTAAGCTGTGTAAAAGTATGGAATTTAGACAGTAAATTACTGACAATACTTCTGTCGAACCACGGGAATAATGATACTACTAATATCAAATCTGTTAATAACAATAATAGTACAGCTAAAACACAAACATATACTACTTATTTCAGTCATGGAATGAATAAGTTATTCATATTATATCTTGGATTACTATTATTTCATGGATTAATACGCGAAACAATTGTTGTTAACGGTCGACCGTTACAAGATGGAGTAGAACGTCGCTACGGGGAATTAAATTTACGCCCATCTAAATCATTATCCTCCTCATCATCATCATCATCACAAAAGATACCAAAAGTTGTTATGCCACCGTATGATCTTGGATTTAGAGGTCAAAAAACCGAGGATATGAACAAAGTGAGGTCACCACCATTATCGTCATCATCATCATTAAACGATGCCAATGGTAAGTTTGACAATATGAGAGGATTTCAGTCAGATGAAACATATGATGGAAATGCTCAGTCGTATTTTCTTTCACCATCGGCTTCAGCATCATTATATCAAGGTCGAAGAAATCCACGTTATCAGAGAGTGAATCGTGATAACTTTAAGAAACAAACGAACAACAATTTTAATGGTGATAATACCAATGATGGTGGTAGTGGTGTATTAGGTGGACAATTATATTTTGATGCCAAAATACCCATAGATAATCAAAATCCGAGATCATATCGACAACCGCGACCACAATCGCCTATATCAGTATCTTCTATTAAAGAGATGAATGATCCATCCGATTATAGAAGAGTTAATCTTGCCCCATCTCAACCTTTTCCTTCCCCGATTCAGCAACAACCACTCCGACCTTCTTATTCATCGTATAATCCACGCAGGTCGATGAACAGTTTTCATGATCCTCTATTCATGTCTGAACAGGAAACAAATTATGACGGTAATGATGCACAATTTTCCCAACAAGATAATCAATGGGGTAAGATAGGTAACCCATATCAACGTCAATCGATGTATGATGCGAATACCGCTTATATGAATCGAGAGAATCCTTCTGTATGGTATCCTGTATCATATCAAAATCTTAATGACCAATTAGAAAATCCATCACAATATGAAAATCATCAACAAATACAACAACCTTCAGGCATTAATGCTTATCCACCCTTTAATATTCCAAACAATAAGGTTGTCGGTCAAAATGTTAATCCTAATGCTAATGCTAATGCTAATTATGGTCGTATAAATGCGAATAGTGATCAGCTGTCCTATTTCAGAGAGATACCAGATATTCAATTATCCTATCTTATTAATCAGTATCAAATGGAGTTATCTCGTCGACGAAATGAGCGTGGTTATTATCAGGGGAATCCTTATTACAGCCAGCCACTTGATCCTGAACCTATTTATCCTCCTGGTAGGTCCACTTTTATGTCTTTATAGTGTGCGTTTAATGATTTCTGATAAAAAGGGGGGATAATGCAGTCCTCTTAGTTGCTGACGATTTTTTTTACGATTGATATTGCATTTTTTAGGAAAAGTTATGCTCAGATTATTATGTAACACATGACAACTAACTATTAAAAGAATAGTCAGCATTTTACTAATGACTTGTCTCGCCTAGATAATTCTTACAAGTGAGTAATAAAAGCATTCAGCCAATAAAACCAAACAAGTATGTGTGGACACTGCAGATTACATTCCTCCTGAAGTTGAGAACTCTACAGCTGCATGTACCTATACATTTTATTTATTTATGTATTTTTGATTATAGCTTAATTCCACACCTTATTTTTGGTACAAGTATATGGAATTTTCAGCATGTGATATCGGTACCCCATATTTTGCAGGCCTACCATTGATAACAGGTGTGCGTCGGCAGGGAATCGAACCCCGGACCATGTGGATGGTCGGGGAGAGTCCTATCTGCTGTGTCACCAACGTATTGTCACTACGACTCTCAATTCGTGTACTCATTGTTGCAATGCACAAGAAATGCTATTAGACTATTGTACCTCAAGAACCATCACTTGGTGGATCACATTTTTTTGCAATAAGTGAGGCAGTAGGATATTGATTAGTGGATTGTGATTCGGTCAGTATCAACGTGCAGCATGTTGCGTGACACGTTTATGGTATATATTTATTAGTGGATAAACGAGGTAAATTTTAGTGTCCCGGAGCAGTCTTCAGTTAAGACAAGAGTTCATCAGATAAGTCACACAATACGGCAGTACTAATATTGGCTAAAGTTTCCGATAAAGTTTAACTGACAGAAGTGAGTAGAACTCAGGTAAAATTAAGAGAGGCTCGAGGTCAGTGGCATGAAGAGTAGAAATGTAGTGGTGGGAATAAGTTCCAAGAAAATTGGGATTCATGGAGATTGCGAAGTTTCAGACAAATCAAGTCCTTTATAGGTTCAGTGATAGAATAAACTTTCGTGCTGACAGTTCAGGACTTAACATGTGCATCTCCATAGCTTCTGCGGTAATCTATAGAGTAACCGGAAACCTTGCCTGAGAAGTACGAATCAAACTTCTTCAAAACTCAGAAGCTATGACAATCCACACGTTAAATCCTGAAGTCTGCATATAAAAGAACCTTATTCAGTCAATGAATCTACAATGGACCTAATTTTTTAACATTGTGCTATTTATCTCCCTACCCACCATTACATTTCTACTCCTAATGACACTGATCTTGAGTTGAGTTCAACTCAATTCTGCCAATTGTATTACGTCACACAATTTACTTTCTTAATTTTATTTTAGTTTCTTTCTACCCGACTAACGTTTTTCGTGTTACGTAACTGTCGTCTGAAGCTTAAAATTGTTTCAATTTAATTGAGAGATTTGTAAACTGTGTGACTTGGCGGTTTGAGTTTATCCAGTTCCGCTTACTGTTTCTTATTGTACGAAATGGTCTAAAAGGGCCCTAGTCGTTTAACCGTTTACTCCCGTCGATTCTTATTAATTTTACCGACATCTCGAAGGTTACAATAATGCAAGAATTATACATTTGCTATGCTGCGTTAACCATGCGCGTCTCCCGGGGTTCGATTCCTAGTTGACGCATACTCCTGAACCTCGCCTAGCAGGATATAGTTTCTGTAAAGAAAGAAGGTTATATGTGAGGCTAGCAACTGTATTCTGCAAAAAACGAGAACACCGGTGCTACTGGAAATAAAGGGGTTATGCATTCCCCAGCGATATCTTTACCTAACAGGGTTGAACTGTCATTTCAGAGTTATACAGTCTCTTGTAGTATGTATAGAATTCAATCCAAACAAGAGTTTTACCAAATGAATCCCAACATTAAACCTAAAATACGGTTGAGCGACTATAGCCTTAGAAACTTCACTGATATGCGCCTTCCAAAAAGAATTTAATCAGTTACTAGATAAAGCATAGTTAGGGCTGATACTGTGGTCAGCAAATTCTGACCAACTCTCATAAACAATTGATAAGCTTTCGTAAGAAATGCTTTACAACTAGAAATAATCTGAAGAATGCGAACGTCTACTAAGTTACCGACTGAAATCTGGTCAATAACCGGCAAAAGTGATTTTTCTGTTCACGTGTCAACAGAATTTTCTATTGATGTCTTAATGAAAAGAATTTTTAGTCGTTCCAAAAAAAACTTATGACCTAGTTTCTATTCACAGTAAAAACTTATTGTTTTTTTTGTTGTCATCTTCAGTAAGTAAGTTAGTAAGCAAGTAAGTGTACTGTAATCTCAATTACATTAAAGGCTTTTGTTCAGCACAACTTTTACATCCAAAAAAGCGGTTATTATAATCACATCTTTGTAGTAATGATGTTCTCACCGAGACTCGAAATCAGTGCCCATAGGTTTAAACGCCAAAACGTTATCCACTAGACCACTTGGGCCAGGCGAGCTACCTCTTGTGATTTATTTAGTACATCCAGATGACGAGTCCCAAATAGGACGAAATGTGCGTTATCCGAGATTTTACTGCTAGTCACCATCCACCAATTAACTTCCATCTTTGTACTAATTGAGATTTTACTGCTATAGAACAAACAACTTGCACAGGTATACACGGAACAATAAAACAACAATACTAGCTTTATTCTGAACAATGTTTATATAATGTACAAAAGTTTCAGTGGAGTTTATTATATGGTATTTTCTTTTCGTCCAGGATCTTTAAACAAAACATTATTTGACTCATAGCAGATCGTGTGACACAGTTCTATCTGATCTGAAATTCAAAGCAATCCATTATGACGCTATCTCCTCTTTTTCTGCTTCGAGAAATAAACCACATTTTCGAGAGTTGGCTTGTAAGGATTAGATTTTTTTTAATGAGTTTGACCACGGATTGATATCGTTCAGAGCACCATTGAAAACCAGCTCGAATTAATGGATAGCTGTGTCATCCTGATTTGGGAATCACCGGCAGTAGGCACCCGCTGGGGCTGAGTGGTATACGAGCTCGCTTGCCTTGTAACCAGAAGGTACTGGGTTCGAACCCTGCAAGTGGGTGCATACTGCCGACGATTCCCAAAATTAGGATGAAATAGCTGTCCAGTACTCCCTGTGGCTGGTTTTCAATGGCTCTCTAACTGATATCAATCGATCCGTGGTTAAACTTGTAAAAACAAACTACATTTTGTTGTTTACCAATTATAATAAGTTCAGGAGATTATTTTATTAACCAAGGACACCACTCAGAAACGGTCATCTCATGTATTGGGATAAGATGACATCGAGGATAATTCATTTTCTCATGTTTAGTAGAAAGCTGAGAGTCAGCAGGTTGTGAATGTTTTAAATACACGCCAAGGTAGACAAAATTATTGAAGGTCATGTTTTACTGGATTTAAACAAGCTCGTAAAACATAACTAATCCTTACAAACCAAACTATAGAAAACTGATAAGAGAAAAAAATATTGATGGGAGTTTTGGTAATCCAAATTTTAAGCGAGCCGCCAATATTTGATTGTTGCATCTCGCTGAGATCGTGTCAACAAGCGATTGTTTTCTGGATAATTTAATAGGCTAAAGTACTTACGAAATGCTTAAGAGTTTCTTTACGCTATACAGAATAAATTTTTTTTAACCCTAACACTTTAATGCATAATTAATGCACTGACGTTGAATAAGACTAGCAAGGCTATTCATTTTAAAACAATTGGTTCCCTTTATGAATTTAGACAAAGCATTAGGAAGACGTAATTTGTCTGAATCGTGTGTGTAATGTATTTGCGCAACACATTTCGAACAATCTGATCACACATTGACTTGTCAAGGAATAGATATATATTTGAAATTATTAAGGATTCAAGAGGTGAGAAATAGACTTAAGTGAAGAAGTTACAATGGCATAATGAAGGTCAAAATAACAATGAAGATCACTTTACCAAATAACTGAGGTAATAGTACATCTACTCTAGCTGGTATCAAAACAAAGTTTACCAAGGCACAGGTTCAGTGTGATGACGAATTGTTTTTGAATGCATAAAGGTGGTTTAAACTTCCTTATTGCCAGCTGAGGCTTCTACAAACTTTAGGATACGCTCTCCCTCAAATATATTTTATAGATAGGTTTACCAATTTGAATGTACGTGTGGTCAAACATACATAGGGAGGACTCATTGATCTCTGCAAGTGAGGGCTTCAGAGCACATTCCTGAATGCCTCCAGAAGCAAATGGAATCCCCATAACCCATTAATGGTGAGAACAGGCGACCTAGCTCCTCTATTGAGAAACATATTATGGAGGAGACAGGATATAAAATTGGTGTATAGACATATTTTAAACCTATCCATAAAACGTGTTTAGGGGAGGGAGTATTCTAAAGTTTATGGAAGCCTCAGCTGGCAATAAGGAAGTTTAAACCACCTTCATGCATTCAAAGCAACAATTCGTCATCACACTGAACCTTCCTTGGTAAACTTTGTTTTGATACCAGCCAGAGTAGATGTACTATTACTCCTCTTATTTGGTTGAGTGATCTTCATTGCTATTCATTTTGTTTCGTTTTCTTTATTCATTTCTACTCTAATCATATATGGTGCAAATGAATAGGATGACTACTTTAATTGGATACAAGGTAGTAATTAGTTTCATGAGTCGAATCTGTCATTCGGTGTGGACTAAATTCTTTCAGTCAAGGCTCACCATCACCTTCTGCACTCAGAATTGTTGTTATTAGATGATTGAAGGCGATCGGCAGAAAGCCCTCCAACTAGGCTTCGTACTTGTTGGCACTCACCGGTCGTTAAGGTACACCTGCTATCATGAAGGAATTTACGTCCGGTCACACAGATCCACAGTCAGGCACACTACCACTGAGATATTCGGTTTCGCAAATGACCTCCTGTAGGACTGTACCAGATACTTTATTGGATACTAGGTAGTAATTAATGGTATGCGTCTAGTCCTTTGT